TCCCACCAGCTCTACGTGGTTTGATTTTATCACCTAACACACCTTCACACAAGGTTTACATGAATCGATATTGGACATGCAGCAGTTTCAAAATTAAATTTTAAATTCATAAATGTAAAGGCAATCCAAATACAAGGAGAGCTGTGGATCTGCAGCGAGTGTGTATGTCTGGAGAGCTCAGATTCTGCTGTGCACCACAGTCATGCCAGATGCACAGCTGAAGGGCTTTTGCCCCTTCATGGTTATCAGTTTCAACTTTTTGTTTGTCCTCTGTGACCTTTTCTCCTAAAATTATTGTTTTCTCTCTTTGTCACCTTACTTTGAGTAATTCTACTTCATATGCTTTTGAAAGAATAACAAGGAGCCTTCATACTTGAAACAGTTTCCATATCTTCACTCATTCTGTATATTTAAGAAAAGAAAAAATCCCTCACAAAGTTCATGTCTTCTTAGGCAAGTAGTAACTGTTCTGTAGATGTGAAAATGTTACTTAAATTCCTCAGGCAAAATCAAACTGGCTCTGCATTTGGCAGAAACACTGTGATATAAATTCCTCCTCATTTGTGCATGTTTTAGAAAATACAAAAGAAGGAAAATGTTACCAAGTGATTCCTTCTGCCTGTTCTCTGTTGAAACTTTATTCCTGAAAATACTTATTCTGGCTCATACAACCCAACCCAAGAGGCCTCTGTCTTTTCCAGGAGAGGAACACTATCAAAATATTTTGGAATACCAGCATTGGTTATGAATTCAGACCTTGTTCAACCACAATAATTATGTGCACAGACCTGAAGATATCATTATATAAACACCCAAAGTGCTTCTCAATCAAATTGAGTTGGGATTCAGATTAATCTTACAAAAGATGTCTTAATAAGGTGACTTGGAGTCTCAGCTTCTCACCAAACTAGAACATTTATGTTTTAAAGAGAGCTAAGGAAAGCAGGAAGGAGAACGTCTCCCTTTTATAAAAAAGGAGGAGCATTAGAGTGTTTGCCAAATAGTTTCAAGCAGATCTTTTCACAGTACTGCATAAAACATGTCTGCCAGACTTCCTTTGTTTCACAGATGAATGTCCAGTCTGAAGATTGTTTCTCAAGTAGGTGATCTTCAGATGTGAGAGGCTACTTTGATGTCTTGAGAGAACTCCAACCCCTTCTAAAACTTAATTTCTATGTAGCTGTATTTGTGCTGCATAATTGATTCACTTAGGTATGGTCTGGGTGAGAAAAGAGCCAGCAAATATTTGTATTTCCCCCAGCCATTCTGTGCACTGCATAGGACTGTTTTTCTCCCATGAGTTCACTTTTTTTGAAGCATATTATCAAGCTATGGCAAATACTGAACTTCTCTAACATGCGAGGAGCATGGAAGCTTTGAACAAATCACACTTTTCTTACAGTGCTTTGTGAAGATGGTAAACCAGGATAAAGTGATGAGGGAAAATCAGAAATTGTATGTCAGCGCTTAGGGCTTGTGGAATATTTTATCCACCACTGCACAGAGAAAGCTAAGTGCAGAGAGGAGCACTGTATTTGTAACAGTCTGAACATAAAATCCTGTTCAAAAGTTTCCCAAGTCAGACCCACGTACACAAACAGCATCCTGTTGTACTCTAATTCATGGGGTACTTACCTGGAGCCAGTGTGAACACAGCTGACTGCCAGCACCAGAGAGGGAGAAGTCTCATCTTGATTTTGAACCAAGTCTTACTTTTAAGTCCTGTAAAGTGTACTCAGATAGTTTATCAGCACTAATTAGGATTTTAATGCATCTTTTCAGGTCGCAGAAGAAGCCTACAGGAATAACACTGCCTCCACCTATCCTCAGCCCAAGGACCTCGAAGCCTTCATCCGCTCTCAGGTGTACAGTACTGATTACAACAGCTTCGTGGCTGACTCCTACACCTGGCCTGAAGAGGCCATGAAAGTGAAACTGTAAATATTTAATGAAGAATGAACAAATCACCTGCAGTTAAAAAGCATTAAAATATTAAGGTTGTTTCTGCCTAGAGAGCCTAAGAATAGCTAATTTTTTAAGATGCAGAAAACTTTTTCTAATTCACAGTAGTTGGTTAGAAACTCAGATCAAGACATCGTCAATTATACATCAGAAAATAAAAATTAATCTGAGAGATATATTTGTGTTTGGTTATTTTGATTGTTATTTTAATTGAGATATCCTACACTACAGTTTCACAGATTTTTTTTTAAAAAAGTGGTTATATCTTGAGTCAAGAGTTTGTTTTGTTACAAACATCAATGGGAACTTAAAAAGATAAATGGGCACTTAAAAATACATTTGATATTTTTTGCATTAGTCACAGTGTAATTTGCATAATTTGTAAACCTGTTATTAAAAAAAAAAAAACAAAAAACAAACCCAAGCTTTAAACAACCATGAGGTTAGAATGTTTTATTCCAGAGAAAATGCTTGTTGATCACTCTTGTGTGGAGTTATGAAATGAAAATTTTCTAGAAGAACCAAATCTGCAGAACTTTTTGTTCACATCTAATCAGAACATTTTAACACTACTAACAATAACATTTAACAATACTAACATTTAACATTAGCTAAGGTAATGTCTTGTATAAGATCAAGGATTTAATTCCCCCACCAAGATGACCACTGTTCTGATCCATTGCAAATGTTTGGCCTAATTTCTTGAACTCCATGTTCTTGACAAAAAGGGAGTATCAAAATGCCAGGAATAGACTTTGAGGAATTGTTAGTTGGTAACAATTACCACTCCAAGAAAAATGCAATATATTTTCTGGATGGTTCTGGAAACAAAGGTTACTTAAACATTTTTTTCTAACATCTGTTTCTCTCTAATCTTTACTAGAGAGATTATCTCTAGAAAACCAAATACTAATTTCATTTGTCTGGCCCCTCAGCTCTGTCACAGCTGCAGATTAGAGGTCCCAAATTCAGAAAGAGAGGCACTTTCTCCCTCACTGCCTAATGGGAAGATGTCAACATTTTTGCTTCACTGTGTTTTTGGCAGAAGTTATGATCACACAACAGCACACTTCCCACAACCTACCACAGTGAAGGAAAATACATTAATCATATTCTGAGCAAGCAGAAACACTCTGCATTTCAATGCCATCCTCTGCATTTCAATGTATTGCTATTGTGAGAAGGGTATTAAAACACTTCCTTGTACTTAATTTGAAATAAAATAATATCTGTTATTTATGTTCTCATCAGCTAAGTGTGCTGAAACACAGTCTTTAAACAGGTGCTGCTGAGTGCCTGGGTGTTGGAGTGGTGCAGCTCAGCAGTGAGTCTGCTTTTATTGCTTGGTACCCCTTTTCACATGGAGGCACTCAGGCACAGAGTGGGAGGTGGTGGGCTGGTGTTCCTTCAAGGGGACTTTCCAGTAGTGTTCTTTAACTGTATATTATATTGAAACATATTATATTGATACACATTATATTATACATATTGTATTTAAATATGATCATGCATTACAAACTGGAACACTCACCATCCATATCCACACTCAGCACGCTTCCCTGCAGGAAAACACTGCCTAATGAACCATTAACAGCATTGCCTCCTACAAGCTGCGGGAAAATTCTCTCCGTACTAATTTGACATAGAAAGGACTCTTCAAGTTATTTGTATTTTTATGTAATATTAAAAAAAAAATATATATATATATATGGTTTTTTTCCTATTTTCTGTATTATACATGTATTTCCTTATGTAATGTAGGAGAGAAAACTCAACTTTGTCTCAGCTGACCCATTTTCATTTCCAAGGTGTTTGGCCTAACAGTGTAAACATAAAATGCCATGAATTGAACAGATGAAAAATTGTTATTAACATAGCCAGACAGACACTTTGGCTCATGACATCCTTAACTGAAGAGACATGGATTTGATGGATGAACCACTCGGTAGGTCAGGATGGTTGGTTGCAAAGAGTTGCAGTCAATGGCTCAATGTCCAAGTGGAGACCAGTGGCAGTGACATTCCTCAGGGCTTGGTATTAACATTGCTGTCAGTGACACAGACAGTGGGACCAACTGCACCCCCAGCAGGTTTGCTGATGGCACCAAGCTACAAGGAGCAGTCAACACACTGGAGGGAAGGGATGGATGTTATCCGGGACCTGGACAGGCTTGAGAGGGGGGTCTGTGCAAGCCTCGTGGTGTTGAAGGCTGAGTGCAAGGTCGGGGCAATCCCAAGCACAAACACAGACTGGGTGGAGAGCAGCTCTGAGGAGCTGGACTTGGCACTGGTAGACAAGAAGCTCAACATGAGCCAGAGATGTGCACTTGAAACCAAGAAAGCCAACTGTATCCTAGGCTGCATCAAAAGCAGCATGACCAGCAAGCTGAGAGACGTGATTCTCACCTTCTACTCCACTTTTGTGAGACCCCAAACAGACCATTGCATCCAGCTCTGGGACATGAACGTAAAAGGAACACACAGACCTGCTGCAGCAAGTCCAGAGGAGGGCCACAAACAATGATCAGAGGGCTGGAGTATCTCTCCTAGAAAACTGGCTGAGAGATTGGGATTGTTCAGCCTGGAGAAGAGCAGGCTTTGGCAAGACCTTATAGCACCTTCTAGTACCTGAAGGGACTCTACAAGAAAGCTGGACTTTTTTACAAGTGCATGTAGTGACAAGACAGGGAATGTTTTAAACTGAAAGAGAGTAGGTTCAGATGCGATGGGTAGAAATTCACACAGCACAGTACAGATGAGAAGACAGAAGTGTATAATTCCTAACACTGTGGAAAGTTTATCACCTTGCAAGTGCTTTGAGGCATGGCTCACAGAGACAAACACCAGGTTTAGAGTCTTAGAAAATCAGTGAACACGTCTGAAAAACACATGGCAGTTCAAAAGCTGAGATTAACTACTTTAACCATTCATCTCAGATGTTAAAAGTTTCCTTTTTCACAGTAGCTGTAAGGCAAAATATTTCAGTCTTAGCAACACCTCTTGCTCTCCAGAATTAGAACTCTTCATAAACAGTTTCTCTCAATTGTCTGAAAGTTTGCCTTCAACACCAAATAAAATCTGAAAAATGTGTCCACTTTGATGCTGTTTCAGGAATTCTAGAAACTGGCCAAGATCCATGTGATAGTCATTCCTCAGGCCATAATCACCATGTGCCTGAAACTGCAGGTCTTCAAAGCTGTGAAAGAGACGAAGATTATCAATGCTTCCCTCTGCTTCTATATTCTCCACATGCTTGCATGAAATATGCTTCCAGTTGGGATATCTAATAACACGCCAGAACTCCTCACAGTTTTCTTGGAGTCCCTCCACACAGATGACACCAGGTTTCCCAGTTAGGCAGAAGCCAGTCAGATTTAACTTCTTAGCACAGTCAAAAATCTTTTTCCTCAGTTCCTGCCTGTATATGTGATGGCTGTAGATCCACATGCGATGCAGCATTTCCTTAACCCTGACTTCTTCAGAAGCACACTCAGACGAGGCCTGACAGTTTTCCAAGAAGGGCAGGGTGTTGTCCTTCACCCACTGCACAGCCTCACATACACACAGATCTCCTGGATCCAGAGAGCTGATGTGAGACATGAGACGAGTGTTGAGCTGCAACTGTTGCTGTCTGTGCAGAGCATCTGATCTGGCAAAAAGCTGAGGAGCCACCTGAGGGTACATATGAGGAAGGAGAACCTGCAATTCCACCTTGACCTTAAAAACAGAAGACACACACACACAGAAAATTAATTTTGCAGCTACTGAAGACACACTAGATTCTTCTCCCCTGTCAGAGGCAGATTATGAGGAGATGTAATCAAGATTGCAGCATCCTACTGACTGGAACTATTTCCACTTCCCTTTTGTCCCAAAACCCATTCTTTTGTGTGTTCCTCTTGTGTTGCATCATGCTGTCACTTTCACAACACTTCCCATGTTATCCAGGCAGCTTTTGTGCTGTTCACAGAACTAATGCTATGGCTTGGGAGAAGGTACACAGTTAGCCTCCAGGGATATTTCTAGCTCAGTGTTGGTACAGCAATGACCTGCTGGTGTCAAGGGCTTTTGAGAATCTCATCCCTTACCAAATGCACATGAACTCAGCTCAGCTGCTGGAAAAAAAGGCCAAGAGTTACATGGAATGGTGTTTGTGATTGTACCTACTGCATATAGAGACCCGTGGCAGGAGTGTTGGAAATAACTTGCCCTTTAAGGTTGCTCCCAACCCAAACCATTCCATGATTATGTGTGTCATCATAATTTTAAACAAGTATTCACCGTAAAAGAGGAATCAGGATTATAGGGGATGTAAAGATTTATGTACATTTCAAGTCAGGGAGACCTCAAAATTATTTTATCTGATCTCTTATCAACACTGGGCTGCTGGATTTCTCTTGATTATTCCTACAGTGCCTTCAAACAGAGCACCACAGTTCTTTGGGAGCTGAACCCTGCCTCTAGTCCAAGAGCAGGAAAGGATTAATGTGTCCTCAGCGCCTCAAGCTCCTGTAGACTATTGGGGGTACTCACTACAGTGCACAATCATATGATAGTCCTGTAGAGAAAAGTGAATCATTAAATGACTAATTATCTTTCCAAGTCCCTTGACGATCTGCAATGGAAAAAACCCCACTACTCCTACACAAGCACTCCCTACATGGCTCATAAAACTTCTCTCTTGTGGGTTGGTGAAAGGGTGCATTTTAGAAAGATACCTAAGCTTGTACCTAAAGTTTAAAAAAATCATGAGGCCATGCCACTGCCCAGTAAATTGTTCTAATGTTTGATTACCTTCATTCCATGGAAAATGGCTTTTAGGCTGAGTTTGTCTGTTCTCAATTTCTAGCCACTGCATTAGTATGCACTCAGACCTGTGTTCTCTGTGCAAGTATTTACACTAATTACTTCAATCCTTTTCTTCAATCACTTAAACTGTTGTAAATCCTTATACTGAGAGTTTGGTTCTCTGCTCATAGGCTGGTTTTGTTTTTGTGTCCTTGTGACTCCTCGTAATTGCAGTCTGCCACTTGGGGCTATTTTTACCTTATTATATTTCTAACACAGATGTTAGCAGCAGCCGAGATTTTCTGTTACTCTAGACTTCTCCAAGAGCAAAAAAACCCCCTTTTTTCCGGGCAGCCTTTTCAACCGTGTGCAGGAGTAAAGACAACACCACCCAGGACCATTTCTCCTGGGCAGCTCTCACCTTCGCCTCCCCCACATCGAGAGCGATGCGATATTCCAGCTGCGGGGGCAGGGCTCCGTCAGCATTCCCCAGGTAGCGCTGGATGCTGGGCACGGCGTCCGCATCCAGACTGAATTCTCCTCTTTTGGGGAACATCGAAAGGAGCATTTCCACTTCCAGCAGCTGGAGCTCCAGGCATTCTTTCACCGTCACAGCCATTGCAGGCCTGGAACGAGAGGAGAGGAGTCAAACCCGCGCTTCAGCGCACGGGGAGGTTCAGCCCCCCGGGAAGCCCCACGATTCTTTAAGGGCAGCATTTGGCGAAACGCGGCGCTCACAGCCGGGCTCAGGGACGGAGAGGAGCACGGAACGGAGAGCCGCGCTGATGTGCGTGGGCAGAGGTACATTATTTATGTTATTTGTGTTATTTATCAGCACATACCGCCGGTGTTGGCTGGGTGTCCTGGTTCGCCCCCAGCCGCCCCAAGCCCCACAGAGCCGCCTTCCCCACCCGCGGCATCGGGGAGAATCGGAAGGGAAAAAGGCAGAAAATTGACTGCGTGAAATGAAGACAGCTCCACAGGGAGAGCAAAAGCCGCGCACAGCCCAGCCCAGCCCATCCCATCCCAGCGGGACACGGCCCGAGCGCTCCCACCGCCGCCATTCCCGGACACTCCCCGGGCCGCTCCCGGCTGGGCGGGGCTGCGCCTGCGCGGCCGCGGCTCCGCGCGGGGGCGCGGCCCGAGTGCCACGCGGCCGGCGCTGCCCCGCCCACCCACCAGCCATTGGTCGGTCCCGCGGCGAGTGGGCGGGGCCGCGCCGGCTCCGTGAGGGGCGCACGGCGGCTCCGGCGGGATCGCGCCCCACCCTTCCCATCCCATCCCATCCCAGGGCACCGAATCCCACCCGGCCTATTCCACCCATCCCACCCCATCCACACAGCCCGGCCCGGCCCAGCCCGTGCGTCCGCGCGCCAGCCCCGGGGGTGCCAGGGAAGCAGCCGTGCAGGGGGCGCGTGTGCGGCCGGCCCCGCCCGCCCGGCCTGGGGCCCGTGTGCCGGTGCGAGCCGAGCCGCGCCCGCGGCAGCGTCCCGGGAACAGCGCTGGGAGCTGCCCTGCGAGCGCCGGGGAGGCGGGACACGCCGCTCTTGGGCTCGGAAATCAGTGTATGGAGCCGCGGCCGGGCGCTCTGCGCGGCTGATGTCGCGGTGAGAAACGGGCAGCAACGCTGAGGGAACTTGTTCGGATCCCAGGATCCAGCCGGCTGGGAATCGTGGCTCTCCTCGCCTCGTGCCTGCGGGATCGGCGTGTGTCTGATCACGCTGTTTATCCCGTGCTCTCCAGGAGTGTAGAGAGCCCTTCCCCGGTGCTGGGGCCCGCTGCAGGAAGGCGGGACCGCTCACCGCGGCTGCCTGCTCGCACTTCCATCCGTGCCGCTTCCTTCCCTCCAGATGGATTCCGAAGCCCTTAGGAAGTACGCGGCGCTGCACCCCAAGCCCGCCGGGCTGACCCTGCACTACGGCACCGCCGGGTTCCGCACCGAGGCCGGGCAGCTGGACCACGTCGTGTTCCGCATGGGCCTCCTGGCCGTGCTCCGCTCCAAAGCCGTGACAGCGACCATTGGCATCATGGTCACCGCGTCTCACAACCCTGAAGTAAGGACTGCCCTCTCCTCAAACAGGCCACCACTTCGGTGGAATGATGTGTTTTGGTAGAAGGGTGCAGAGATGTGATCAGTTTGTTGGAATCCAAGCTCACCGTAGCACTGAGATGACCCTGAAGACATTTGGACCTGCTTAAAGCACTCAGCCTGCCCCCGTGAATAGGATCTCTGGTCTATCTGAAGTTACTTTTCCCCTGTAAACAGAAGTTATTTTCCCCTGTGCACAGAATTCTCCTGTGGAAATAGTGTAACACAGGAAACATTTCATGTTGCAATGTAACTTTCTAATGTTGGGAAGCTAGGAGTAACACTGAGAAGAGAAGAGCCTTTGAGTAAAATCTGTATGTTTTAAAAATAAACCTGCAAATGCAGCGATTACAAATCAGGCATTTAGACTTTTGCTGCTGTGGAGCATTGAAGGATATTTGAATCTCCTCTTAGGTAATTTTAATGTCGAATTAATTTCACACCAAAATTATAAGGGAGAAAGAGTTGGTTACTCAGTATGCTTGTTGTAGTGCTTCTCTGGGGCTTGTTGGAGGTTTAAATAAACAGCTAAACTATTGCATCCCAGAAGTTCTCCACTTTTAAAGAAGCAATGTGACTGAACCATGTGTTGTCTGTCTTCAAAGAGTTTTTATTAGTTCCCCACTTTTAGACTTACTATTTTTTTGTTCTTTTGTTTTTCCACTAAGGAAGACAATGGTGTAAAGCTGGTTGATCCTCTTGGAGAAATGCTGCACCCTTCCTGGGAAGAGTATGCCACACAACTAGCAAATGCAGAGGAGCAAGAATTACAGAAGGTGATAACTGAGATCTGCCAAAAAGCAGCAGTGAACCTGCACAAAGATGCCTCCGTTTTTATTGGTAGAGACACCAGGTAATGACAAAAGGCTGTGGATATATCCTGCTCTTATGGAAGTACCAGTGCTGTCTTTAGGGGAATTGTGTGGGTACTGGGTGGTGTCCACCGCTGTCCTGCACTTTACAATCCCTGGGGGTGTTTGCTTTCAAACTTTATTGGGAATTGAGCAGAGAAAGGTTTGGATTTCTTCACAATGAGTCTAAATCTTGTGGCAGGAAGCTTGTAAAGTCTTCCACATGTGCTTCCTTCCCATAGAGTCCATAGATAAATGCCTTTGCCAGGGTTATCAGATGTTCTTGTTGTTTTCCAGGCCAAGCAGTAAGAAGCTGTCCCAGTCAGTTATAGATGGTATCCAGGTTCTAGGTGGTCAGTACCATGGTAGGTTCCACTTCTGCAATTCTAATCTCATTTCAAGTATTTTTATGTAAATGCGACTCCTTTATGTAGCCCTAAGGCAACAGCCCAGGCACATTTCCATCCTTGCTTGTAACGCTTTTATTTCAGGGTGGTTGCATGGCTCTGAGGCAGGGTAGGGGAGGGTTATGTTTTCATAAGACAACTTGAAAAATTCCATCGGTGTTTCATGTACTGCACTCGTCTGCTCACTGTACAACTTTTAAGCAGCAATTAATTTGCAATTCTATTCTGAATGTTGCTCCTTGTATTTCACACTAGATTATGGTCTGGTGACGACACCACAGCTCCACTACATGGTCTGCTGTCAAAACACCCAAGGGCAGTATGGGAAAGCAACACTGGAAGGTTATTATGAAAAACTCTCCAAAGCTTTTATGGAACTGGTAAAACAGGTGAATAGTAGGTGTTGTCTTCTTCATGCAAATGTACAAAATTAATCTCTTCTGTTTGTTGGCCTGTTTGGCCCTGAAGTTTCTAAATCAGCATGCTCTAGGTGTGGTTTCTCTAGGGTAACTTTGCCCCTTCTTCCCTTGCACTTCCCAGCAGTCTCACTGCTCTGGAGAGTTTCAGAGGCACCTGAAGATTGACTGTGCCAATGGCATAGGAGCCCTAAAACTATCAGAAATGAAGCCCTACTTTCCACAAGAGGTGCTAATTCACATATATAATGATGGAACCAAGGAGAAACTCAATCACTTATGTGGTGCAGATTTTGTGAAAGTTCACCAGAAACCACCTGGAGGTAAGTAGTCAGTAATTTCATGTTGCTTTACCTCCTCTGCAGGGTCTGGCAAGGGTCCACATCCTTGGGTAAGTGGAGCTCCCTGTTTCTTACTAAGTGACTGCATGAATGGTTCTCCTTGTGCAGTGGCAAGAGGGAACAGCCTGGCCAGGTTTGGCACATCTCTGTGTTAGTCTGGACTGCTTGGAGGAGCACAGCATCTCTCTGACTGGCTGAAATGTGGTGAATGTTAAGCTGGCAGAGTCCAAAGATCAGTCAGGACTGGTTTAGTGTTATTTATTTTATTCCCCTTTGTATTATGAAGAAACACTTTTCCGGGTTCCTGCAGAAGGGCTGGGTTAATTAACAGCTCAGTGCCAGCAGGCTGACTCGTTGACATAAACCAGTGAGGAAAAGATTTCAGTCAGTTTTCTGAGACTTGTATAAAAGAAAAGCCCTGAACTGGGAGAGCAGGCTGGTTTGGGTATGAGATTATGTGAAGCTAAACTGAGTTCTCCATTGGACAGCTGCCCTCTCGCTGCAGCTGCTGGCAAAATCTGAACACCAAGATACCGTGCTGCTTCCCCTTCCCATGCTGGTTGTGTACTGGAGAAATGCAGTGCTGGGAGCAGCACAGTGGCAGGGCCTGCTGGGGATGGATGCTTGTGCCTCCTGTCTGGGTCCTGGCTTTAACTGTGCCTGAGTGCACTCATTTGTATGCAGACCTGTGCTCTGAAAAGAAATTGTGTTTTCCTCATCACTCACTGAAATAAATTACCTGATTTTGTTTCTTTTCCTGTCTTTAACTTGCATTTATAACTCTGTGCACTAGGGCTGGACATGAAGCCCAATGAGAGATGCTGCTCATTTGATGGGGATGCAGATAGAATTGTTTATTATTATAAGGACACAGCTGGCCATTTTCACCTGATCGATGGAGATAAAATAGCAACTTTAATTAGTATCTTCCTAAAAGAACTTCTTGCCAAGGTAACTGTAACATATGAAATGAATGCTGGCATTTTAATTTGTAAAGTATAAAGTAGTCTAAGGAAGCTGTGTTGCTTGGTATGTGGTCTCTCTACATCTGCCTAAAGTGAACCAGCTTTAAAAAGAGATCAGTCCTCTACCTCATTGCTGTGGCCAAAAAAGGGTTTGGAAAGTCTAAGCTTGAAGAGCTGCTTCAGCCAGACCCAGGAAAAATCAATATGGGGTGTACAAATATTTGACAGAATTCATGTTGTTTTAAAGCTACAGAAGTTCTCAGTGAGCTGCTGCCTCCCTCTAGTACCCAGGAGTTTTAATTGTACATTTAAAAGTTCTGATTATCTTTCCATTTATCCATTTTGTTTGGCTGTGTGCCTGTTGGACAGTAAAACTTGGTTTATTGGTTTGCTCAGGTGAAACAGGACTTCAACATGGCAGTGGTACAAACAGCATATGCCAATGGGAATTCCACACGCTACCTCCAGGAAACACTGAAGGTATTCTCCATGGTTTTTCTAGGTAGTTTACATTTTTTTTTATTTTAAAAGTAAATGCTACTGTAATATGATTGCTAGGAAAATTAAAATCAAGCAAAAATAAATTACTCTTTCAAACCTCCAGTAGTGACTAAATTCTTGGTGGCAAAGGAGGTGCAAGAGAGCAGAGCTGAAAAAGTTCTAGTCAGTTTTTATTAACTTAAAAATGTTTAATTGAATCCCTTGGTACTTAAACAAACGGAGGACTTTATAGCTTTGCAACCAAGTGAGTCAGTAAAGCCTCCTTGATACTTTGACACTGATTTATTTTCTGCAGCAAGCTAAATGTTCAGGAATTGAGAGAAGGTATTAATTATTTCTGTTTGTATGTCAATCTAGTGTGTTCCCTGAAGCTATAAACTAAATTGGATTTTTCTAGGTTTGGAGTTTATTTATTTAATTGGCCTTTATTCCTCACAGGAATCAATGTAATATTTTTTAATTGGGTCTGCAGAAATTGTGGAGCACTTTAACTCTGGGGCCTCAGTGGCCTCAGAAACTGAGGGCTAGTTTGAAACACGGTTTAGTTTGTAACAGTCCTTCCAGTCCAGCCTGCTGAGGAAAGTCTGTGACCTTGTTGTCATTCTCTGCACACCCTTGGGCTGCAGGTACCTGTGCACTGTGTCAAAACAGGAGTGAAACACTTGCACCACAAGGCCCAGGAGTTTGATGTGGGTGTTTATTTTGAGGCAAACGGACATGGCACAGTAAGTATGAGCAGGTAATCCATGTGATCAGCCACTATCAACAAAATTTTAGTTAAATTACCTGGAGAAGGAGGTCTTTTCACTCTCTGCTTAGTTTTATAAACAAAACTTTTTCTCCTTGTTTGAAAGTAGACTTGTTTACTCCTGTCTTTATCACAGCATTGCCACCAGCTTCTCTGTGCTTTATGGGGGAATGGGAATTCATGGCAGCAAACATTAATGATGGTTATTTGGGCTTAGATGGTACAAGTTTTGTCCTCACTACTGCATATATCCTGGTTTCATCTTGACAAGCTCTTATCTTTTTCTTCTAGGTACTGTTTAGTAAAGCTGCTGAAAGTAAAATACGACAGCTGGTAAAAGAGGAGAAAGATAATGAAAAAAGAGAAGCAGCAAAGATGCTTGAAAACATGATTGACCTGATTAATCAGGTAAAAACTGAGAGTGCTGAAGCACGGTGTTGTCAGGGTTAGCCAGTTTCTCAGCTCCTGTCAGGCTGCTGCTGGGGCCTGCTGGAAGTTTCCTGATGCA